TTAAAGACTGAACCTGAACAGTTAAAGACTGAACCTGACCAGTAAAAACTTGAACCTGACAAGTAAAAACTTGAACCTGACAAGTAAAACTTGAACCTGACCAGTAAAAACCTGACCAGTTAAAGACTGAACCTGACCAGTAAAAACCTGTCCAGTTAAAGAGTGAACCTGACTAGTAAAAACCTGACCAGTTAAAGACTGAACCTGACCAGTTAAAGACTGATTAGGACGTTAGGTCAACACCCTCTAAATATTTGTCAGTCTTGGTTTACTAGCATGTTTTTCTGAATTTCAGTGAAAATAACAAAACTGATCAAGATCAGAGAAATTAAAAGTGAGCACTACCTTTCCCTCCATGTTGTTTCTTGGTTGAGGATGCAGCAGAGACTTCAGAGGCAGCAAGGCGGCGAAGGACGTCAGCAAGAGCAGCTTTCATCACCGTCAGCTCGTCTTCCTGCTGCTGAACACGAAGCTCCAGAGCAGAAAGACGGTCGTTCACATCGGAGACACTCGCTCCAGACATACTGTCATCTAGAGACACGGAAACATGGGTCAGAACATGCTGTCATCTTCAGGGAGACGGAAACATGGGCCAGAACGTACCGTCCTCTACAGAGAACACGGGTCAGAACGTACCGTCATCTACAGAGAGATGGAAACATGGGTCAGAACGTACCGTGCTCTACAGAGAACACGGGTCAGAACGTACCGTCATCTACAGGGAGACGGAATCACGGGTCAGAACGTACCGTCATCTACAGAGAGATGGAAACATGGGTCAGAACGTACCATGCTCTACAGAGAACACGGGTCAGAACGTACCGTCATCTACAGAGAGATGGAAACACGGGTCAGAACGTACCGTGCTCTACAGAGAACACGGGTCAGAACGTACTGTCATCTACAGGGAGACGGAATCACGGGTCAGAACGTACCGTCATCTACAGAGAGATGGAAACATGGGTCAGAACGTACCGTCATCTACAGAGAGACGGAAACACGGGTCAGAACGTACCGTCATCTACAGAGAGACGGAAACACGGGTCAGAACGTACCGTCATCTACAGAGAGACGGAAACACGGGTCAGAACGTACCGTCATCTACAGAGAGACGGAAACCGGGTCAGAACGTACCGTCATCTACAGGGAGACGGAAACACGGGTCAAAAAGTACCAACATCTACAGAGAGAAGGAAACACGGGGCAGAAGGTACCCAGAAACCAGGTATTCACCCCTGATCCAGCAGAGCTCCACAGACCCCTGATCCAGCAGAGACCTGTCTGTATGTGACTGTGTTTTAGGAGGAGAGTATCGATCAGGAAACAATCAGAAACGAACAGTGTGAGCTTTGAGGGTTCGAGTGGTTTATGACGTTCTGGTTCTGGAAAAGATTTCAGAAAATAAACTGAGCTAGAAACATTTTCACTGTTTGAAAGAAAAGTAAACGCTCAGTCCTGCAGGCGCTGCAAGTGTCTGCATGTCTGCTTTACTGCAACACACACAGGGAGGCAAACCCACATGTTTTCTCAGACACAGGTTTGTCTCTGCGTAAACTCGTTAGGACTCTGACTGACATGATGCATTCCTTCAGTGTCTCTGCAGAACAGAACGCAGTCAGTCAGCCTGTACTAACCCCCCGTTCAAATGGTTTTGTGTTCAGGTGCTGTCTTATTCTATGATGATGATATCGGTGACAACGCCAACACTGGTTCAGGCATGTGATTGGCAAAGGGCAAAAAAGCAGTAAAATATACTGAGACCCTGTAAAGCAGGACCCGTGAAAATAACTTATCTGGTGGATGTGTTGCAGAGGGAATCAAAGACAAGTGTCTAATCCACTGCGCCTTCGCCACCTCTCAATAATAAGAATTATTTTGTATTCATTTTTTTACCAAGCTTCAACAGCTAAATGTGCAACATGCAGCATGAAATAATTGATTCTATAACTAAATAATATAACTACTAACTAGAAGTTAATAGGTTATTTTTAATGAACAAGAGACAGCAGCAAAGGTTGCTGCCTGTTTAAGACCTGGTGGCCTAACTGTTTTTTTTATATTATTCGGGAAACTCAGATCAAACTGCAGTTTAGTCTCCGTCTACTGATAAACTGTAGGCAAAAGATTGACATTTCAACTCTGGCAGCGGGCGGGCGTGTGCGTGAGACAAGAACGACCACGACAGTTTCAAGGGATCGAGCCAGTTACACAGAAGCCGTTGCCATGGTTACCTCACGGAGCGCTTGTTTGCCTGTCTGTTGATAAGGAGCGCAGAGTGACACCATGGATCCAAGCCACCTGAAAAAGCCTTATAAACCCTTATAAACCCTGTCACAACCATTCACAAGAAATTAACTAACCCTGCCCCCTCAAATCTTAGGGCAACCATCACAACAAGGTTCTGTTCAGCTGTGACTTTCTCTGCCTAACTTTCTCAGGTCATACAGGACAGGAAATGCCGTCCAGATGGTGAAACACCAGACTGTCCAAGAGGGGGCTCTCCGTGGATACGAAGCATCAGCACAGTCCAACTCCGTCTGGATGAAGACCGGACTCCAGCGGAGCTCAAGTTCAGAAGACCGGCCACAGACAAGAAGAGGCATCCTTGTCAGTTCTGGGTATGACCCGCAGGGTTTCCTCTGCCAGTCAGCATGGTGCTAAAAGAGGTGTGCTAAAGGAGTTGTGGACTGTATGATGACTTGATTCTCTGTAAGCCAGGGGAGGTATAGCCTAAATCTGACTTGGTTCTAAATGTGATTTCTTCTGATGACCCGGAGGTCATGGCAGTCAGAGACACATAAAACTGAGGCCTGGTTTCTGACACTGAAACTGCTCAAGCAACTAACACAAAAAAGACACACCTGCTGCTGTCAGCATCGTCTGAAAAGAACCCAGAGAAATACAGGTGCGTCTTTCATTGTTATGCAGATGATACTCAGTTATATCTATCGATCAAACCAGATGAAACTCATCAGTTAGCTAAACTTCAAATGTGCCTTGAGGATGTTAAAACCTGGATGACCTGTAATTTTCTCATGTTAAACTCAGATAAAACTGAAGTTATTGTTCTGGGGCCCAAGCACCTCCGTGACGCATTATCTAAATATATCTCGTCCCTCTCCTCTCTCCTCCTATCACTTCCTGCAGGTGTTTCTGGCTCTGGAGCTGTAGAGTCTGGATCTGTGGTTGCGGGTCACCTGCTGCCCCCGTGTTCCTGCTCGAAACCCTCTGCTGCAACGACTATTGTTACTAGTCCTATTGTTATTATTGTTATTATAATCATTAACATTACGATTGTTATCATTAACACTACTATAAATATCTGTACCATTTTTCATTTAGTCTATAGCAACATCACCTTTACTGTCTGTACCTCTGTGTGGATATTGTGTAGGCTGCCTCCCTCCCCCTCTTCACACCTGTCTGATGTCACCTCAGGGCATCTGCCACACCTGCCTGCAGCTGTCTCGCTCTGGATGCGTCCTCTCAGGTGCATTAAGGGGTTTACGGAGACAAAAGGCCGACTCATGTCACCCTGACATCTCACCTGCAGCAGTGATGGCATCACTTCCTGAAAGCGTTTATTCTCAACTTGTGATGATGACCCACATTGATGACCCGCGGCTGATTGATCACAGTCAATCAGCCGCGGGTCATCAATTTGGTTCCACCTGGATCTGACCAGAGACCCTCCAGTTCCAGTCCTGTACGTGAGGATCTGAAGCGTTAACTCTTCAGGTCATTTGAGTCTGGCAGCTATTAGTTCCTGGTAACAGCGGCGAGTACCTGCCTGGACCTTTCAATGATTAACGATTTTAACGATGGTCCGGAGGTTTTAGTACCTGAGCTGAAGGTCCAACATTTCTTCTTATCACTTTTTATCTGACAGGAAGTGTTTCAGTAAATAAAGTTTCTCAGCTCTTCACAAACCTCTGGGTGTGTAAATCTCTTTGTTTCTGACAGGAAGTGTTTTAAACAAAGTTAGATTTGTCCCCTTTGGTTTTTACTGATCTGCCGCAGCCTGCAGCTCTGACTACTTCCTGGAACAGGAGGTGAGCAGGATGAATAAGTAAACCGGATCTTGAGTACTGGTTCTGCAGAGTCCCCACACACACTAACACAGTGCTGTCCAAGTCGAGGTTCGGGGACCCGCAGCATCTCATCACAATCTGAATTTATGAAACTTAAACCGGATCTAACTCGCCCCCTCCCCCCTTACTGGTCTCAGACGAGCCCATGTCTTTATCTAGGGGGGGGGGTCTCCTTCAGGAGGAAATGCTGGTTTGTGGCCCTGCAGCCGCCGGAGGGGCGGTGCAGAGTATTTTGATAAATACAGCAGTGACACGTGTAAAGCCGCCAGGGGCGCGTGCGGCTCTCACCGTCCCGCCGCTGCACGGACAGGTGACCAGGTGATCTTTAGGGCGCGAGCGGCGGCGCGGACTCACCTAAACTGCCGGTGAATCCGTCCATTTTCCGGGAGAAAAGCGGGAGTCCGGGCCGGAGGCCTGCGGGAGGCTGAACGCACACTGCGGGCCTCCGTCCGGGGTTTCCACCGCAGCGGGGAGAGGAAGAGCCGAACCGAGCCGAGGCGGGTCTGTCCCCGCAGTGCTGCCGCCGAATCCGTCCGTCCGTCCGTCCGTTGGGCTGAAGATCCGCTGTTTCCTGCGTGCTGAGACCAGAAGCCGCTCCAGGAGGATCCGAGACAGAGACAAGAGAAGCCGCGGAGCCGCAGACACGACGGACCAGCAGAGAGCTTCCGACTCCGCCTGCTCTGGCAGCGCGCGCTTCCCCCCGAGGGGAGGGGGGCGGAGGCGCACGCACACACAGAGCTGGGGGGAGGGGAGGTTGAGAGAGAGGGGGAGGATGGGGGGGAGGCAGGTCAGGTTTCAGCGGGTTGTCCGTCCCAGCAGACATCAGCGCCGCCCGGCGGACATTCACCGTCATCACACGCAGCAGGAAGTGACGTGTTCATAATCAATAAACACCATGAATCAAACTCAGAGCAAACTTTTATTTTGTTGAATATAAAAACAGAATCTCCTCGGAATAAAATCATTAAAATGATGAAACAGAAAAATTAATCAGTAAAAGCAGGAAGTCAGATGTTTCTCTGGTTTGCTCTGATTGGCTAGAGGTCTTTATTCATACAAAATATTTCAACAATAAGCTTTATTTATTCAAAGAGTGTTAACATGAATCCAGTGTCAATAAAGTTCTTTGTCTTCATATTCAGTCCACACGTGATCACATGATCTGAAGCTGAGATGGCGATTTGTCTTTACGGATTCTTCTTCTGTGGTTTCTGAACTTAACATTTACCACTTTATCTAATTATTGACGATGACGACATGTTTACCAATCAACCACTGACTGATCGTTTAGGGGTTTTATTTTGTGGCCAATTACAGGAACATCACGTTCTGCTGCAGGAGGTTCATTTCCTCTTTTAAATCACTGAAACAACGATGATGATGGATGAGTGAATTGACTGATCCGCAACTATTTGGATAATCAATGAAATGACCGACTGAGGAACTGAACCGGTTCTGCAGACTGAATGACTCATTTAGATCGATCAATAGTGAGGACAATACTTTGGTCAGAGACACAAGAAGACCTGAGTTCACCCTGAAGATGACGACGACGGAGGAGGCACTGAACGGTAAACAGCCAATCAGGTCAAAGGTCACACTGGTTCATTAAACATTCACAGGGAGGCCTGAAGCTGCAGTTCGTGTTGGTTCTTAAACGAGAGGAAAAGTGAAGGCAGTCTGGTACAGAGCAGGCACAGGTCTGTTAGCTGACGAAACTCGCAGCCACAATACAACAACAACAACAATATATAAAAAAATTCATTTTAAAAACAACAACAACAACAACAACAACAACACAACGTCACATTCTCAAGGAGCCCCAAGACCAGAAAGACCTGGTCTTTACCCAGGAACACACCCTCCTTCAGGACTACGGAGGCTCCACGGAGGCTCCACGCATTCACCACGACGCCATGTCTGCAGTTACCCTAGCAACGAGATCATCTGAAGAAGACTGAAGGCAGATGCAACTACCAAAGAAGAAGAAGAAGAAGAAGAAGGCACGTCTGACTGAAGAAACTTGGTCCACCAACACCTGAGGGAAGCTCCACCCCTGCAGGTAATACCCCGCCCACAAATGGAAGACTCCACCCACGCAGGGAAGACTCCGCCTCCTGCATCAGTAGCTGAATTTGACCTTCTCGATGTCGGAGATCAGAGTCCTGGCCAGGTAGATCCCCACCATCTGATCACAGGTAAACACACGACTGAGACAGCAGAACCCAGCAGAGACAACGTGTACTAACACAGGTACTCCAGGTACCGTTACACCTACAGTACACACATGCAGTGCTGTTACAGTATTTGTACCTGCAGCAGAGAGATGACGATGAAGACGATGGCCACGGTGTAGAGATTTCCAGGCAACCAGTCCTCCAACGCAGCGATGCAGCCTTTAGTGAAGATGTGATTACTCCACTCAGCCTGTATGGAACAGTGAGGAACGTCAAAGAACATGTTCCCAATAAGAACATCAACGACATGTTACTGTTAAAACCCAAGGAGGAGTCTCCTGTTTGAACACACAATCATGTTGCAACATTAGAACATGTTCTAAAGAGAACATGTTAACAGTAACAAAACGTTCTTATTAGAACATTAACACTTTCCTCGTAAGAACATAAACAAAATGTTGTTGTTGGAACATTGAACGCTTTTTTAGGTCAAAACTCAAGGAGGACATTCCTGTTAGAGCGTGTCATTAGTGTTCTAACTGGAACATGTTAACGGAACAGGAACAAGAACAACGACAACGTTCCTGTTAGAACATTAACCACTTTTGGTCAGTATCAAACCGACAAAGGACCCATGATCCAGCTCAGTTTATAAACGAAAACGTCCTGAAGAGCCACGCCATGCTGACCATCACCTGTCCAAAAAGAAAGTTTGCTTTAAAGAACAGGAAATGACCTCACCTTTGGTCTGTTTCTGACGTCGTAGCCACACTGAGTGTTCAACACCGAGTCCTGACATAAACACAAATACAGACTTATTATACAGTTATGGAACAAGGGGGATTGATCATGTGCTTTGATCTCTGATCAGCCATAAACTCACCGCAGGATCATTGATGCAGCAGGAGAAAGGAACCCCACACTTCTCTCTGCTGCGATGAGTCCCGTTACAGCTGAAATAAACGTTCTGATCCCAGTCGTCTGGCTCCTGAGCTCCACAGCAGTGGTTCTGTTAAAAGAACAAGATACTTTACTCAACAGGACCATGTTCCTACAGGTTTAACTAAAGGTTCCTGAGCTCCACAGCAGTGGTTCTGTTAAAAGAACAAGATACTTTACTCAACAGGACCATGTTCCTACAGGTTTAACTAAAGGTTCCTGAGCTCCACAGCAGTGGTTCTGTTAAAAGAACAAGCTACTTTACTCAACAGGAACATGTTCCTACAGGTTTAACTAAAGGTTCCTGAGCTCCACAGCAGTGGTTCTGTTAAAAGAACAAGCTACTTTACTCAACAGGAACATGTTCCTACAGGTTTAACTAAAGGTTCCTGAGCTCCACAGCAGTGGTTCTGTTAAAAGAACAAGATACTTTACTCAACAGGAACATGTTCCTACAGGTTTAACTAAAGGTTCCTGAGCTCCACAGCAGTGGTTCTGTTAAAAGAACAAGATACTTTACTCAACAGGACCATGTTCCTACAGGTTTAACTAAAGGTTCCTGAGCTCCACAGCAGTGGTTCTGTTAAAAGAACAAGATACTTTACTCAACAGGAACATGTTCCTACAGGTTTAACTAAAGGTTCCTGAGCTCCACAGCAGTGGTTCTGTTAAAAGAACAAGATACTTTACTCAACAGGAACACGTTCCTACAGGTTTAACTAAAGGTTCCTGAGCTCCACAGCAGTGGTTCTGTTAAAAGAACAAGATACTTTACTCAACAGGAACATGTTCCTACAGGTTTAACTAAAGGTTCCTGAGCTCCACAGCAGTGATTCTGTTAAAAGAACAAGATACTTGCCCCCCGTGACCCGGAGCACAGGATAAGCAGTTGACGATGGATAGTTTGTGTTTACTACCCTGACTGTACACTGTAACTTTTACTGTCCTGTTTTAATGTGTTGTTTTTTTCCAATTTCCCTATGTTGCTTTTAAGGTTTTTTATATTTCCCTGTTGCTTTTATGTTTTATGTAAAGCACTTTGAATTACCTTGTTGTTGAAATGTGCTATACAAATAACCTTGCCATGCTGAATGTGCTTTGGCACATAAAGTGATGGATGAAGCATCCCTAGTGGCTTTGTGTAAAACATCTGGAGCAGGCTGTGTAGCTGTTACACTTCCTCTAAATAACGGGTTACTGTCTGAGCTGCAGACATTTCTAACTATGTGATGCCGAGCCACCTGCACACGCACGTCATGAGCAGCGTCCACAGTGTTCGTGTAGTTACTGTCACGCCACAGGGGGAAACAAACGTTCAGCACTGCAGGTTTGACCTGATCTGAATGTTCAACCTCCAGTCAGCTGCTCCTTTGACTACCTCCTAGCCGTCACATTATCCTTCAGACAGGAATCCATTTTTCTCTCTGTCTCTCGGTTAGCAAAGTCACTTCAGAGTTGTTCCAGATAAGAGATCAATACTATAAACGCTCCGCCTACTGACAGTCACCATCTGTAGGAGATCCCGCAGACTGTTTTCTACTTCCTGTTTGCAGCATGATATCTGTACAAAGTATCTCTGCAACCCCCACAGCAGAGACTGAAGCCCTGAAGCCCAGCGCAGGTTTAAGATCTGTCAGGAAGCCGGCTCACCGCTCTGGGTTCAGATTTTAGATTTAGTTTGGATTTTCTGTATCCTGCATGTGGCAGCTGCAGCTGTCATTATTATTTTAATTTTTCAAAGTCATTTTTATCAAACACTTGTCTCATTAATATTTTATGCAATCATCCTGAAAAAGAGACACAAAAAGATCATTAGAATAATGATCGTAGTGACAATTACTTACTGCTATGTCATGATAATAATAACAAACCTTCAGTACTTAAAATCTTAAATGTTTCTGGCATGGATTTCTTTCCTCACTGAGTAATAAGTCTTATAGTTTGTAAAAGCTGCAAGCAGACTGGCTGACTGGGGAACCCTGAGCAGACCGAGCCTGATTGGTTGTTAGTGAAGCAGATAACACAGCAACATCTGTTTCCTGTCCGTCCATCCTGAAAGAGGATCCCTCCTCTTCCTGAACTCACTAGCATTTGTCTGTTAAAAGGATGTTTGGGTGTTTTTCTTGAATGCAGGGTCTGTGGAAAGACAGTTTGTAATGCAGGCCAATATGAACAACACTGAAACACAAACAGACTGTGATGAGTTACCATCCTGTGCAGAGAGTCGATGAGGTTCTGCAGGTCAATGTCGTCTCTGTACGCTTTGATGTTTGCCAGGAAGAAGCCGTTAATCCACTCTCGGACCTGGCTCTGAAAAACCACCGCCAGCACCGCCGCCGTCAGTTCCAGGATAAAGATGAAGCCGATCACGCCGGAAAACTGATGAACCACCAGGACTGGTTAAATGTTCAACAAAGGCCAACATTTCTAACATATAAACTTTAGCAAAAACTTCAGCAGACCGACGATTCTAACGTATAAACTTCAGCAGACCGACGATTCTAACGTATAAACTTCAGCAGACTGAAATATTTAAAGTATAAATTTCAGCAGACCGACGATTCTAACGTATAAACTTCAGCAGACCGACGATTCTAACGTATAAACTTCAGCAGACCGACGATTCTAACGTATAAACTTCAGCAGACTGAAATATTTAAAGTATAAATTTCAGCAGACCGACGATTCTAACGTATAAACTTCAGCAGACCGACGATTCTAACGTATAAACTTCAGCAGACTGAAATATTTAAAGTATAAATTTCAGCAGACCGACGATTCTAACGTATAAACTTCAGCAGACCGACGATTCTAACGTATAAACTTCAGCAGACCGACGATTCTAACGTATAAACTTCAGCAGACCGATGATTCTAACGTATAAACTTCAGCAGACCGACGATTCTAACGTATAAACTTCAGCAGACCGACGATTCTAATGTATAAACTTCAGCAGACTGAAGTATTTTAAGTATAAACTTCAGCAGACTGAAGTATTTTAAGTATAAACTTCAGCAGACCGACGATTCTAACGTATAAACATTAGCAGACCGAAGTATTTTAAGTATAAACTTCAGCAGACCGACGATTCTAACGTATAAACTTCAGCAGACCGACGATTCTAACGTATAAACTTCAGCAGACTGAAGTATTTAAAGTATAAACTTCAGCAGACCGACGATTCTAACGTATAAACATCAGCAGACCGAAGTATTTTAAGTATAAACTTCAGCAGACCGACGATTCTAACGTATAAACTTCAGCAGACCGACGATTCTAACGTATAAACTTCAGCAGACCGACGATTCTAACGTATAAACTTCAGCAGACCGACGATTCTAACGTATAAACTTCAGCAGACTGAAGTATTTAAAGTATAAACTTCAGCAGACCGACGATTCTAACGTATAAACATTAGCAGACCGAAGTATTTTAAGTATAAACTTCAGCAGACCGACGATTCTAACGTATAAACTTCAGCAGACCGACGATTCTAACGTATAAACTTCAGCAGACCGACGATTCTAACGTATAAACTTCAGCAGACTGAAATATTTAAAGTATAAATTTCAGCAGACCGACGATTCTAACGTATAAACTTCAGCAGACCGAAGTATTTAACATAAACTTCAGCAGACCGACGATTCTAACGTATAAACTTCAGCAGACCGACGATTCTAACGTATAAACTTCAGCAGACCGACGATTCTAACGTATAAACTTCAGCAGACCGACGATTCTAACGTATAAACTTCAGCAGACCGACGATTCTAACGTATAAACTTCAGCAGACCGAAGATTCTAACGTATAAACTTCAGCAGACCGACGATTCTAACGTATAAACTTCAGCAGACCGAAGATTCTAACGTATAAACTTCAGCAGACCGACGATTCTAACGTATAAACTTCAGCAGACCGAAGTATTTAACATAAACTTCAGCAGACTGAAGTATTTAACATAAACTTCAGCAAACCGACGATTCTAACGTATAAACTTCAGCAGACTGAAGAATTTCAAGTATAAACTTCAGCATACCGACGATTCTAACGTATAAACTTCAGCAGACCGACGATTCTAACGTATAAACTTCAGCAGACCGACGATTCTAACGTATAAACCTCAGCAGACCGAAGTATTTTAAGTATAAACTTCAGCAGACCGACGATTCTAACGTATAAACATTAGCAGACCGAAGTATTTTAAGTATAAACTTCAGCAGACCGACGATTCTAACGTATAAACTTCAGCAGACTGAAGAATTTCAAGTATAAACTTCAGCATACCGACGATTCTAACGTATAAACTTCAGCAGACCGACGATTTTAACGTATAAACTTCAGCAGACCGACGATTCTAACGTATAAACTTCAGCAGACCGAAGTATTTTAAGTATAAACTTCAGCAGACCGACGATTCTAACGTATAAACATTAGCAGACCGAAGTATTTTAAGTATAAACTTCAGCAGACCGACGATTCTAACGTATAAACTTCAGCAGACCGAAGTATTTTAAGTATAAACTTCAGCAGACTGAAGTATTTTAAGTATAAACTTCAGCAGACTGAAGTATTTTAAGTATAAACTTCAGCAGACCGACGATTCTAACGTATAAACTTCAGCAGACTGAAGTATTTTAAGTATAAACTTCAGCAGACCGACGATTCTAACGTATAAACTTCAGCAGACCGACGATTCTAACGTATAAACTTCAGCAGACTGACGATTCTAACGTATAAACTTCAGCAGACTGAAGTATTTAACATAAACTTCAGCAGACCGACGATTCTAATGTATAAACTTCAGCAGACCGACGATTCTAACGTATAAACTTCAGCAGACCGAAGTATTTAACATAAACTTCAGCAGACCGACGATTCTAACGTATAAACTTCAGCAGACCGAAGTATTTAACATAAACTTCAGCAGACCGACGATTCTAACGTATAAACTTCAGCAGACCGACGATTCTAACGTATAAACTTCAGCAGACCGACGATTCTAAGTATAAACTTCAGCAGACTGAAATATTTAAAGTATAAACTTCAGCAGACCGACGATTCTAACGTATAAACTTCAGCAGACCGACGATTCTAACGTATAAACTTCAGCAGACTGAAATATTTAAAGTATAAACTTCAGCAGACCAACGATTCTAACGTATAAACTTCAGCAGACCAACGATTCTAACGTATAAATTTCAGCAGACCAACGATTCTAACGTATAAACTTCAGCAGACTGAAATATTTAAAGTATAAACTTCAGCAGACCAACGATTCTAACGTATAAACTTCAGCAGACCGACGATTCTAACGTATAAACTTCAGCAGACCGACGATTCTAACGTATAAACTTCAGCAGACTGAAATATTTAAAGTATAAATTTCAGCAGACCGACGATTCTAACGTATAAACTTCAGCAGACCGAAGTATTTAACATAAACTTCAGCAGACCGACGATTCTAACGTATAAACTTCAGCAGACCGAAGTATTTAACATAAACTTCAGCAGACCGACGATTCTAACGTATAAACTTCAGCAGACCGACGATTCTAACGTATAAACTTCAGCAGACTGAAATATTTAACATAAACTTCAGCAGACCGACGATTCTAACGTATAAACTTCAGCAGACCGAAGTATTTAACATAAACTTCAGCAGACTGAAATATTTAAAGTATAAACTTCAGCAGACCGATAATTCTAACGTATAAACTTCAGCAGACCGACGATTCTAAAGTATAAACTTCAGCAGACCGACGATTCTAACGTATAAACTTCAGCAGACTGAAGTATTTAAAGTATAGACTTTGGCTGTTTTAACATACAAACTTCAGCAGACAGATGTTTTCCCTCAGAGCCCCCACACAGCCGGCGAAGCCCAGGATGAAGGTGACTCCGCCCACCACCAGGACCAACCAGACTGGGTCGAAACCATGCAGCCGAGTCACCTGGGTCAGATCCAACAGGACTCCCTGTAAACCACAGCAAAGCAGTTCAGGAAAGGTAAAGCAGTAAGAGAGGTCAAACCTTTAGATATAATTATGATGTGATGATCAATTTTAAACCAACTTTCACTACCTTAACTTAGCAACTCATTTCACTCTTCAAGAAACAAGAAATAAATACTGTTGTGATTGTAATTCAGTGTGTTCATTCACCTTTTCACTCCACGCCCAGAAACCAGCTGAAATGAAGGCAGCTCCAGCCAGCTGCAACACAAAGACACACACCAGCGTTTAGTCTTATCCAATACAGAAACAGACCTGCATTACTTTCTTGTCTGAATATAAAAGCGTTATGTACTGGTTGATGTGAGAGGCATGCTGAGATACTTGTCTGAAGCATAGACTGTATAAAAGAAGAGGGAACAGCTGCCATGAAGTCACCCGTTGGTTTGTTGACTACTGTTTTAAAGCCTCGAGTTTGGCAGTTTGGCCGTCGCCATGTTGACTTTTTGCAGCAAGGCACTGGACGTGACCATATTTGGACGAGAGAGTGGCGCAAGCTAGCTTGGATAGCAAGGTGCAATTTTAATTCACGTTAACTGAGATATTAGCTGGGATGCTAACTATGTTCCTCTAAATGGGACCATAATTTACTAAATGAACATCATGCTGTGTTGAAGAAGACTTTACTGACGGAATAAATCAGCTGAGAAGTAGAAGCATTTTCTCAGAGACTTCTATACAATCACACTTCTTTCTGCAGTCGCCCCCTGCTGGCTGTCAGAGAGGACGCAGGTTTAAGGCTCTTCAGCCTTCAGCCCTGCGTCCTGTGGGTCTGAAGTCAGCTGCTGATAAACCAGGAGTGAGACCCTTACAGGCCGTTCACACTCTGAGACCCAACAAGAACAGAACTGTGACTGATGAGGTTTCACAAGAACACACTTCCTGCTCCCTCAACCACACAGGATACCACTGACATCACTTCCTGTCAGCTGAGTGCCAGACAGGAAACAGCTTTCAAAGACAACACAGCTCTGTCTCAGTCAGTTTAACTTGTGAACATTCTGTGTGACCAGGTAAACAAGTAAACATGGGATCAGTGGCCTGGACTATGAAGGGAGTTCAGCCTGCTCAGAGTGAACTTTGGGAAACAAACGGTCTGCTACACTGGAGTTAAACTACAAAAGGAGGATCAGAGGTTGTTGGTTGAGTCCGTGTTAACTCGTATAAAAAGAGGCGTATTCGGCCGTGCAGGCAAAGTTTTTTTTCCTCCAGAGGAACGCACGTATCAGGAAATTCTGAATGTGACACATTAACGGCTAAGTCTAATATCGTGGCGGCCGACAAAGCCCGGGAGGCTTGTTGGACTAAACTTGTAGCCTGATTCTCTTCAGTGTTCTTCTTGTAGTTCAGATCTCTAGCCTGTATTTTATGTGGAATATAATGAAGATGTAAAGGTCCAGCTGCACATGAGGTCCACTGTAACAGAAGGAGACGTCCACGTGCAGGAGAACCTCCAGTTAACCGCCAACAAAACCTGCTGGGAGCGGTTCAGGGATGAAGCGTAAATCGCCATGGCAACAGACCTCGGGTAACACCCATCCACCTTTTGTAGTACGGGTTAACCGGGAAGTTACTCCTGAAGCTACCTGGATAAGCCGGGTACCTGGCTTGGTAGTACAGGCCACAGGTAAACATGTGATCAGAGTGCACCACGAAGCAGGATTTGAGCTTATCCAGGTAACTTCAGGGTTAACCCTGCTGGGTTTTCAGCACCACGAAGGTGGTTCACTTCTTCCCATGGTAACTTATGCTGAACGGCTAACCTGCTCCGGAGCAGGTTCTGTTCCAGATCAGAGACCAACTCTGTGAAAATGACGTCACCATCTGTAGGAAATCCCACAGACTGTTTTAGCCAATAGGCTGCTTTATGTTTGCAGCGGTGATGTGGAGAAACTCTTGACTCCAGCGATATAATCCTGCAGAGACTGAGCCTGCAGGTTTTTACAGCACAGCAGGATCAGCCTATTTACTGCCTTTAAATGTCTTTAATATTTTTAAAGAAAGGGGTTTTATTTTTCAATATTAGGAGCAGTTTGGTCGGGATATTGAAATACTAAATTTAATATGAACGTAGGCTGTTTATTTTAGGTTAGTATAGCTTTCTTAGGCCTGCTACAGAGACTGCGGTCATGTTCATGTTCATCATGTGAGCTTTCAGCAGCCTAGATGTTGACATTCAGTCTTTCAGACACTATTTGAGCTCATTTTATGGCATGAATGGAGTTTTGTTTCATTGCTTTATGAAGTTAATTTAGAACAACGTTTGGAACACTTTTAAATTAATCTCATTTTTGAAGGGACGAGTTTTTTAAAGTGAGGGGGAAGACCACTTATTCAGCGCCCGAGTCTTTTAATGTGGAGACGCCGACACACAGCCGAGCTGAAAGAATAAGGCTGATATTTTCGTCCAGCTCATAAGAACACTTTAAATCAACACAATAGAATATACTACTGTTCATTTAGACATTCACACCGTCTCCCTGCATGTGTCAGCTGCAGCCGTGCTGCTGTCGTGTTTCTGTAGTGTTACGGTTTAATCCTCGTTCATAAAATATGACGCTCTGCTGACAGTGGACCTGTTCATGTCTGTGACTGGTCATCTGCTGCTAACTCCGCCTCTTTTATGCTGGATTGGGAAACCCTGGGTTGACTTACCGAGTCGATAACCAGCTTCGTGGTAGCGCTTATCCCGACTGTTCGGGTTAGTGAAACCAGATAACGAAAACATATCCTGGGTATGTTGAACTTGCTTCGTGGTGCAGGCCCCAGGTAAATATGTGATCAGGTAAACATATGATCAGGTAAACAGGTAAACATGTGATCAGGTAAACATGTGATCAGGTAAACATGTGATCGGGTAAACATGTGATCAGGTAAACAGGTAAACATGTGATCAGGTAAACAGGTAAACATGTGATCGGGTAAACATGTGATCGGGTAAACAGGTAAACATGTGATCAGGTAAACAGGTAAACATGTGATCGGGTAAACATGTGATCAGGTAAACAGGTAAACATGTGATCGGGTAAACATGTGATCAGGTAAACATGTGATCAGGTAAACAGGTAAACATGTGATCGGGTAAACATGTGATCAGGTAAACAGGTAAACATGTGATCAGGTAAACAGGTAAACATGTGATCGGGTAAACATGTGATCGGGTAAACATGTGATCGGGTAAACATGTGATCGGGTAAACATGTGATCGGGTAAACATGTGATCAGGTAAACAGGTAAACATGTGATCAGGTAAACAGGTAAACATGTGATCAGGTAACTCACCCAGAAGATGATGTTGTAACTGAACATCAGGTATTTGTAGCAGCAGCTGACCTCAGCGTTGTCATAGCGATAGTAGTACATCTGTCACAACACACTGCAGTTACATACTGTACACGTACACTGGTACTGTTAGCGAAACAGAACTGGACCCCGGTACTGTTAGCGAAACAGAACTGGACCCTGGTACTGTTAGCAGCATCAAGAACAACAGAACTGGACCCCGGTACTGTTAGCAGCATCAAGAACAACAGAACTGGACCCCGGTACTGTTAGCGAAACAGAACTGGACCCCGGTACTGTTAGCAGCATCAAGAACAACAGAACTGGACCCCGGTACTGTTAGCAGCATCAAGAACAACAGAACTGGACCCCGGTACTGTTAGCAGCATCAAGAACAACAGAACTGGACCCCGGTACTGTTAGCAGTATCAAGAACAACAGAACTGGACCCCGGTACTGTTAGCAGCATCAAGAACAACAGAACTGGACCCCGGTACTGTTAGCGAAACAGAACTGGACCCCGGTACTGTTAGCGAAACAGAACTGGACCCTGGTACTGTTAGCAGCATCAAGAACAACAGAACTGGACCCCGGTACTGTTAGCAGTATCAAGAACAACAGAACTGGACCCCGGTACTGTTAGCAGTATCAAGAACAACAGAACTGGACCCTGGTACTGTTAGCGAAACAGAACTGGACCCCGGTACTGTTAGCAGCATCAAGAACAACAGAACTGGACCCCGGTACTGTTAGCGAAACAGAACTGGACCCTGGTACTGTTAGCAGTATCAAGAACAACAGAACTGGACCCCGGTACTGTTAGCAGCATCGAGAACAACAGAACTGGACCCCGGTACTGTTAGCAGTATCAAGAACAACAGAACTGGTCCCTGGTACTGTTAGCAGTATCAAGAACAACAGAACTGGACCCTGGTACTGTTAGCGAAACAGAACTGGACCCCGGTACTGTTAGCGAAACAGAACTGGACCCCGGTACTGTTAGCAGCATCAAGAACAACAGAACTGGACCCCGGTACTGTTAGCAGTATCGAGAACAACAGAACTGGACCCCGGTACTGTTAGCAGCATCGAGAACAACAGAACTGGACCCCGGTACTGTTAGCAGTATCGAGAACAACAGAACTGGACCCCGGTACTGTTAGCAGCATCGAGAACAACAGAACTGGACCCCGGTACTGTTAGCGAAACAGAACTGGACCCCGGTACTGTTAGCAGTATCAAGAACAACAGAACTGGACCCCGGTACTGTTAGCAGTATCAAGAACAACAGAACTGGACCCCGGTACTGTTAGCAGTATCAAGAACAACAGAACTGGACCCCGGTACTGTTAGCAGTATCAAGAACAACAGAACTGGACCCCGGTACTGTTAGCAGTATCAAGAACAACAGAACTGGACCCCGGTACTGTTAGCAGTTAGCTTGTAACTGGTTCGGTTTCAAGTCTTTAACTTTAAATGTTAGCATTAACTTTGTTAGCTTAGCTTAGCTCTGGGTGTGAGCTAGTTAACAACTGGGCGCCTTTGCCTCGCTATGTTTCTGTAAAGTACCGACACGGTACCGAATTGTTCACCGCCCATCCGGTTCCTTTGCGCGGTACCGAAGAGCAGCGTTACCGTGCCGTTATTAGCCGGTAATGTGCCGTTATTAGCCGGTAATGTGCCGTTATTAGCCCGTAACGGTGAACCGGAGTTCCTGGAGAGTTTGCTGCGGGCTAACAGGAAGCGGCTAACGCTGGAGCTAAAGTGAAGTACAGGGAGCGGGTTCCTGTAGCAGAGAGGTAGCAGCCTCACCTGAGCTCAGAGAGAGGGAGTCACCTGTCCTTACCTCTCAGCAGTCTGTAGAAACACGACCAGGCTCCTCCGACTCTGTCAGCAACACACCCTGCTGATAACGGACCGCTGCTTCCTCCAACAACAACAACAAGCAGCCAGCTGCGGCTTTCAGGACTTTACAGGTGCTGCCGCCCCCTGCTGGCCCGGAGGGGGAAGGACCAAAGCTTCTGTTCTTCACCCAGCAGCTCTCTCTCCGCTTCAGTATCCCAGGTAAAGGTTTCCTGTCCCAGCTGTTTCTTTAGCTTCTCCTTTTGCAAAGCTTGTATTTATACCTACCTGGCAGGTACCCAGCACCATCTGAAGCTTCTGGGATCTGAAGACCATTTCCAGCATTAAATCTTCTCTATTCTTTCCAAAACTGTAAATTCAATTCAGTTTTATTTATACGGCACCAAACAAACGCCACTCAGATCATTTCTCAGTTTATGGAGCAGAGGCTCGATGACCAGAGAACAGAGGGCAGCCCGGTGTGACCCCCCTCTGACCAGTGAAAGGAGCTCTCAGACCCCCATTCATTTTTAGAACACCTGCAGTGTGACTATACAGAACCTGGATCTGGGCTATAAAGCCTGGGCTGAACCCAAAGGCAGCTAGAGTTCACCACAGATCCAGGAGTTCAACCCGGGTCTGCAGCCAACGAGCTAGAGACCTCCAAAACATCACACATTAAAGTGACACTGCCGGCCACACAGTATGTCTGATCAGCGTGGATAACAGCAGCCGTCACCTCTGGAAGCCTCGGGGCCAGGACCCGGGACAGTACGTTATAGTCTGTGCAGAGCAGGGAAACTGGTCTCCAGGTCTTCAGCTCCTGCAGGTCTCCCTTCTTGGGCAGCAAAGTGATGAGCGCCCTCCCGCGGCTCAGAGGCAGCCGACCTCTCCTCCAACAAGTCTTCACCCAACACCGACCAGCAGGGCCGACCGTCCGGGCCAGGAGCCCTGCCACCCTGAGAACCCATCAGCGTAAAGTTCATCAAGGCAAACACGAGCCTCCAACTTCACCCTGGCCTCAGCGTCCACCTGAGGAAGAGCAGTGAAGAAGCTGCGGCACACACCTGTCAGCTAATTTCCTAATCTCAGAGGAGTCTGAGAGCGCAGAGCCACTGTCAGGTCGCAGGGAGGGAACAAGTTTTCCTCTCCAGACCAAAAAAGAGTCCGTCTGCGGGACGTCCAGGAAGCGTGACCTGACCAGAGCTCCCTGTGCTGCGGCGCCCAGCAGCATGGCCAGAGCCGCCTTTTTAGATTTAAGGGTCTAAAAGAATCTACCAAACCCTGCAGTTTGTTCAAAATGTTCACAGGCAATCCAGCCGTGCCAGAGAAAACACCTTCCAGTGAGTCCAGGTATAAAACATCCTCCACACATCAGACAGCTCACGAGCTTCAGTCTGAACCTGCGTGAGGAAGCAACATGAGGTTCTTGATGATTCCTGTCAAGCTTTGGATTTTCAGTACATTTAAAAACACCTCCTCATCACTGTTACCGTCACACAGGACATTAAGCGCCGCTAACCCGTCTGCTGCGCCTCAACAAAAACAAGGTTTTCAGCAATAAACAGCCCTCAATCATTTTCTCCTCGACTTTGTAGGAAGAAGGTAACAAAGTCCTGGAAACACATTCCCACCGCTCCTCTACAGCTGGACCCCCCAGACACTTTCATTATCTACTCTGTGTTTCCATCTGTGTTCTTCAGCTCCAGCAGCTTGAAAGAAGCAGTTCTGTTAACTTCGGCCCTCCATTTAGCTTCAGAGCGCCTCTGTTGGAATCCCACATGGAGAAAAGAGGCCTGAGAAGAGAACAAGAGGAAACTGGTTTCAGCATCAGCAGCTATTTGTGCTTTGACTCTGAGGATCGGATAGACTTCCTGCTCTGTTAGAACATCATCTGCAGAGTTTCCTGATCTTTCTGTCAGAGACTCAGCTGACTCAACAAATAGCTCAGCAGCCGGAACGCTACAACCTGTGAGGCGAGGGTCAGGTGACCAGCAGAGACCACAGACGGCGTCGGGAGTGAAAACTCTGCCTCACTGATCCACATGGACAAAATAACAGCTGTCAGGACCAGGTTCCAGGTGTTCCTAATAAACCGGTCAGCTCGCTGTGAATGTGTCGGTACACTCTGCGTGTGTGATGTGATCTGTTACCGTGACTCCTCGCCTCCAGCAACCCATCACCGTCTCCATGGCAACAGCAAGTGATGCCACACGTTATGGATAATTTCGTCTCATCAGTTGGGGGGGTGGGGGGGTCTGAATCACAGCTTCCAAGGTTCAGGTTCAACACTGAAACAAACTCACATCGTCTGCAGCACCAAAATCTGTTCAAAAGAGCCCACATTTAAACCTGTGACTCAGTAAGCAAGTTTGAAGGTGGAACTGACCGGATTCTTTCCCAACTAGAAAGAACCTTTAGTTTGTGTACTCTGAGACAGATCTGGATCTAAACAGACGAGAACCCGGGCCTGTTCCCTTCAACAATCTCTCATTCAGCTTCAGACACTCTGAGAACTCCTCACTGTCTTTTTCTGTCTTGTTTAATTCACAGAGAAGAACTTGTGGTCCAGGTGAACCTGATCTGGGCTCTGTGGTTGTTTCCTCAGAGCTGGGAGAACAGATAATCCTCAGTAATCCCACTTGATCCAACAATATGGGGCTGGTGAGAGGAAGTAATAAGAGGGGATCGGGATCAGATGATGGCTGAGCAGCAAAAAGCCCCGTTAGTAACACATTCAGACTTTCCTCTGTATAAATGCTGAAAATGTGAATGGAGTTTGGAACAGAGAGTAAATGTGAGCAGAATACCTGAGAAACACGCTTATTTACACCTGATAACAGCTGATCCTGGTCCATAAATATTCATCAGGCCACACTGAGCTGCATTAATATTCATTATTCTCCCCTTTCATTTAGCAGGAACAGTGCACATAAATGACATAGATTTCATCTGCAGTCCTTGGACAGGTGTTTTACTGTCACATAAATCATGAGAATGTGCAACAAAAGAGATGTGAATCCAGACATTGTACTTTTACCATTTAACAATACCTTTATTGAATTTTGAACAATCAACACAGGATGCAGAGTCCTCACGTATCACTTCCACGCACGTCTTTACACGTTTCACTAATTGACATGTCTTCCCAGCCACCAGAACGTGGCTTGTGTGCTTAAAGTTCAGCGTTTAAAGGACTTTTTCTATTCATAATCTCGGACAGACGCTGGCTAACATTCTTCCACAATATTTGAACTCTCGGGCTTTCCCGTAAACAGTGCAGTAAAGAACCTTCTCATCAGAGCATGTGGAGCACGTATCTGCAACATTAGGAGATATCCGATGTAACCGGGGTCATGTGCGTTCTCAGGAGCCATTCATATAGAAGTGATTTAAACTTTGGATCCACAGTCTGTTTTTAAACGGGCACTCTCCCTTCTATGTGCATTTAAGGTATCCGATGCTGAGGAGGTGGAAAACTTCCCCAACACGTTTCGTCCGGCGCTGCCAGTGGTGCTACTCACACCATGCCTTTAGACTTTGATGACATGCAGCTTTTTCAGGAATTTGATATCTCTGACATAACTGATCAAAAGAGAACCTCCCTCTGTCCAGATTCTGAATCCTCCATCTTTAAAACCAGGTTTAATAAAGTAAACTGAGATATGATGGATACATCCCAGCCCAGGTGTTGTGGGAGGCAGAGACTGTCTTCCTAACAAAGGGACACCTTTAACTCAGTACCACATCTGGATATTTTATGAATATGAATTTAAATCTGGAATAATTAATGGATTAATGGTTAACTGGGCCACCCAATAATACCACCCCCCCTTTCATAAGGCGTGTAGTAAGTGAAGGCTGGCTCTCCTGTTATTCAAATCGACTAAGTCATTTAGTAACTGTACCGTAACATGCATTGGACCGAGGGAGTGAAGGCGCATTTCATTTAAAGAAAACAACAACAACATTCCCAAGCCTGACAATTTTAACAATAGTCACAGTAAATATTTTTTTTAAAGGTAAATTACATGCACACACACAAACTAAAGTACATACGAAATCAATAAATAAGAAATGGGGGGGGGTGGGGGTCTCCAGATTCTCAGCCAAAAGTTAAAACGTAGGAGGCTGATGGCAGAGTGGGGGGGTGATCTCAGCAGCACCCAGAGAGGAGAAATGGGAAATAATGGTTCCCAAACCAAACAAAACGTTTTGTTGCTTATCAAATAGCTAATCCCTTCAGTGGAGCTCGTCATGAAGCCAGTCAACACGAGCTGCTCTGATTTTCAGTTTAGAAGAACCAGCAGTTAAAGAGCAGGTGAGGGCGCCCTTATGAAGATTTGAGAGTGATTGTTGAGCCCAACGCTACTGACAGGGAATTACAGATAGATTTCCAGAGAGTCATCAGTCTTGGATAAAGCCAGAACATATGGAGGCGTGATGCAGGGGCTTCCCTACATCCGTCACAAGTAGGGTCCATGTCTGGTTTAACCTTTGCTGGTCTGTCCAATAAATGCGATGTCCAAATGTGAACTGTATGAGCGCATATAGAACTTCTTTCCCCTCCTCATCTTTAAACGTATGATCCAAATCGTCCTCCCAGATTTGTCTTGAATCCAAGTCGAACTCGGTCTGTAGAACAAGCCTCTTTTATTATATTTTTATTATACTGTATTTCTTCATCCAATCATTGATATGACCATATTAGACTATTGATCGAGTGATTCTCTAACACTGTCCAGTGAGTTGTTAAAGGTCCAGTGTGTCGTCATCATGGGGTAGTGTAGATGCAGACAGATGACAGCAGAAGTCATGGATGTAAAGGTGTAAAATATGTTGTTGGATTAATTTCATGTAACCTAGTTATTCTCCTGCCTGTGGTTTGGCTTGGCTGGTTAACGAGACAATCAGCTGATCAGTAATTGGCAATAAAACGTTAACGTTAACTTAGAGCATGGAAGTGATCAGCCAGCCAAACCTTTACTGCCCTGGTAGAAAAAACATGTTGTTGGATTGTAATTTAATGTGGTTCTTCTCCAGCCTCTGTTACCTTCTTGAGACAAACAGCTGATGAATATTATTGGTAATGACATGGTACCAGCAGGGAAGCTCAGATCACTTACATTTATTCATTTAGCT